ACTCAGCAAGACTCAAGAGAAGACGCAGATACTGGACCTATAAACAAGATTGGCATGTGCCTCTCTTTTGTCAGTTAGAACTCATGCTGAGTGAGTTATGGCAGTTTTCGAAGGGGGAAAGCCGTCCATCCAATTTCGTCTCAATTCTGGACTACTGCAGCCACGCCCATTAGGGGACTCGATACTTGCCCCCTTGGAGACTGAATTTTCAGTCCACTGGGAACAGAAGTTAGAACTTCTCTGCACAGAATCTGGATACTTCTATTAAACAGTTGTTAGCTGCATACAATACATTGCCGCTATGGGTAGTCCTCATGGCCCTGGCTCGTTTGTTCATTCGACTGCTCTTGTTTGGAAGGTGTCATCGTCTTCGATTTTGAGGAGTTCCACAGAGGCTCGACTCCTAACTGACAGAGCTCAGCCATCTTTTACTTGACGCAGTAGCTATCTGGTGGCCACAATGTCATTTTTTCGAACACCTTGTCTAATGAAAATGTGAAATGGTGTGCCAGAAACCGATCACAGCACAAATTTTCCTGCATATTTCCTAGTCCAGTAAATGCATCACAAGTCTGCTTTCAGAAAAAATCACCTCGCGCGCGTAGTTCATAGCCCCTGTGCCACATTACTCTGATGCTCACCGTAGATCTCGTTCCAATCGACTGTCAAACTTGCCTAGCCGCTGGTCGTGGAACGAGGTTATCAGCCACTGCGGACCCATAACTGTTGGTTCACAGATACTAGGCCAGTCCACCTAAATCAGTATTATATAATGAATTTGGGTGTGAATACTGGCTCCCTAAAATAGATGTGCTGACGATAAACAGGATTTATAGAGAAAAGCGCTCCAAATGAAAGTGACCAGAACAAACTGTGCTTTCTTAACAAATTGTTGGTCATACTGAATGTTTGCACGTTACCAACAGGGCAGGCTCTGGATGGCAAGCGTGAGCTGGCCGATATAATCTTACCCAAAGTTATAGCAAATGTCGTTTTTTTCCTCCACTCTGTCTTAAGTCAGTCGATTCTTTTCCGAGGAGATGATCTGAGCATAGTTAAACCTGTCTTCTCCGGCGCTGCTGACGATGGAGAGATCTGCATGCTACGAATACGTGATAGGCTATCAGTTCCATGTAACATATATATGGCAAATATTTCATAACGTACTGCCAACATAAGCACAAGCTAAACGCCTAGCCACTTGTTTTGCCGAGGGGTCTACAGCTGCGTTATACAACAACGAGCGGTTAGACTGCTCAGTATGTCTCCGCAAAGTTCTCTACGCGGTTTCTGGTGTATGACCTCCCGATAATAATCGGGGAAACAATTTAGGAAATTAGTAAGTTCATGACTGAGAGGTGGGTGACCGAAATATAACTTTTAAGGACCAAACCTGAAATTTCTTTTAAAAATTGGATTCAAAGACAGCCTACTTCCGTGAAATAAACACGCAATGTCCGTCTTAGAAACCAGTCGCGCTACAAGTAGTATATATTTATGTGGCAAAGACGTTATACCGTACTCCCAACATGGGTACTAGTTAAAAGCCCAGAAACGTGACCTGTTCCGGTCACCCATCTCCTATTCATGGACTTATTAATTTCCAAAACTACTTCCCAGATAAAGTGACAGATAGGCTCACGCCGATCAGTTACAGGACACACGCGCCCCACATGGCGCCTTTTGGACTCACTCTCAAGGTCGACAGCTAATTGTGCCTCGTCCTCGTTTCTGCTTCTGTTTACCTATCACTATTTACTCAAATGACAACATCTCATTCCCCCCCCCTCCCTAATGGCTTCCACTGGAAACCACGTTCACCGCGTTCCGTTTTTATCTGCTACAGGTCAGCCGCCGGCTTCTACCTTCTGCCCTAGGAATAAAAAGTGCCGTGGATGGTCCATCTGCGATATCTTCTGTCGATGGTGCCAGCGCAAACCGCATGCTAGTGTCAGACAGTCACTGGGCGGCTTTGATGTGGACTACCTCCGAGGCCCTGGCTGTGGCAAGGACAGGGGCAACTTCCTCATGACGCTCTACATCACGGTCAAATTCATGTACCTGATAAACGCTGTGGCGCAGGTCTACTTCATGGAACAGTTTGTCGGCTCCAACTGCAGCTTCTACGGGGCCCGTGTACTGGCTGATCTGGTCCAAGGCCGAGATTGGCAGGAATCGGGTCACTTTCCCCGTGTCACTTTCTGCGACCTGGAGGCTAAAAAGTTGGGCAAAAACCACAGGTATGCTAAA